CAAAGAAAACACATGTATGTAATTAAAAATGCTAAAAGATTTGGCTCAAAGTAAAATCTTTAAACAAATAGAGACCACTGCTAAGAGTTCACCCAACTGAATCAAACCAAGGTTCAATTTCAAATCAGAGAAAGACACAGAAGAAAGAACCTGTGGAGAGGAATTCGTTTTATAGGATTTATCATTATTGGCTTCATAAACAAATACCATACTAAACGTGGGTTAACATTTACTCATATAATCAAATGATTCTTTATTATGGGCAGTAGTTAACATTGTCTGTTAGCTTGTCAACAAATAGTGCATTTCCCCATGAGGTAATAAAAAGGTAGAAATCCTAAAAATCCTATTTGAGTACACCACATACTGGGTGTTCTGTTGATGCACAGTGTACATACATAACACTCACAACAGCCCTGTGAGACAGGTACTCTTGTCTCCATTTTACAGATGGGGAAACTGTGGCACAAAGAGGTTAAGAAGCTCCCAGCATCAGCAAGCAGTCTGATGCCAGAGCCTGACCCTTAGTTACATCTACTGCTCTATTTATGAAAATGGGCTAAATGCTTACTTATAATAATGATTGTAAATAAGTTAAATGGTGCTTTATTGTTGGCTCCACACATACCTGTTCGTGTCCCCTTAGCTATGATTAGCCTTTTCTTTCAATTTCCTGCTTGTAATCCTTAGGCTGTGACTTTGCAGTATATCTTCTTGAATATGTTTTCTTTTGGAGGGAGGGGGATGATAGGTGACATTAGTATTTTATATTTTTATTTTGGTCTATGTGCTGCATACATTATATATTTATGTCCTCTAAAAATATACATTATGAAATAGCACCATATCTGATTAGGGGAAACGAAGTCTAAATGTTCTGTGTACATATTGTCAATTATAAATTAATTTCCTTTCATAAGGACTTCTCATTCATCAAGAAATACACAAAAATATTTCTTAAATAAATTAAAAAAATTAAAGATGGCTCTGTAGTCTAAATAACCAGTATTAGTCATAGATTCTGATATTTAAAGCCAATTTAAAAACCTCTCTGAGGTAAAATCAAGACAGATGACAGACTGAGGAAACAATTTTTCAACTGACACAATAAAGGCTAATCTTCCTAACATTTTTTAAATACATTTATAAAATGATAGGTCAACAACTTAATGTAAAAATGGGCAACAGAGGAATACATAATCTGCAGAAAATAAAGTATAAATGCCTCTTTAAAAACATAGGAGAAAGACACTATTAAGAAAATTACTTGCAACCAGAATACATAAAGAACTACAATTTGATAATAAAAAGACAACCAATCTAACTTAAAAATCATGGGCAAAGTATTAGAATGATTACTTCATCAAAAAAGATATAAAATGAGCTAATAAGCACATGAAAAGACGCTCAACATCATTAGTCATTAGGTAAATGGAAATTAAAACCACAAGACACTACTACACACCTACCAGGATGGTTCAAGATAAAACGACTGATAATAACAAGGTTTAGCGAGGATGTGGAGCAATTGGAACTCCACGTGCTGCTAGTGGGACTGTTAAATGGTACACCATGGTGGAAAATCTTTTGGCAGCTTCTTACAAAGTTTTAAACCACCATTTACCCTACAACCCGGCAATTCCACCCCTAGGTATTTACCCAAGAGAACTGAAAACACGTTCATGCAGAGACCTGCATAAAATTATCATTAACAGTCGTAATCATAATAGCCAAAATGCTGGAAATAACACCGATGGTTTCCGCTGGTAAATGGATACACGAATTACAACATCCATACAATGGAATTCTTCAGTAACGAGAAGGAACAAGCTACTAATGCATACTACAGCATGGTGACTCTCAGAAATCTTAGGCTAAGGACCAAAGGCTACAGAACATGCAATTCCATTATATTACATTCTAGAGAAGGCAAACAGAGGGACAGAAAACAGATCGGTGGTTGTTTGGGGGTGACAAGAATGGAGGGCACAAAGGAACCCTTTGGGATGATGGAGATAGTCTACACCTTGACATGGTGGTGACTGCAGAACTGTATACATGTGTTAAAACTTACCAGCTACATACCTAGTAGTGAACTTTCTGTGTATATAATTCCACCAAAATCCTAATTGTAAAGCAAGTTACTCAAGTATTGTGAGGATGTAGACAATAGTGGGTTTTTTTTTTTATCACATACAAAAAATAATTTTATTTTCTTTTTTCTCCAAATAGGCAACATTTCATACTCCTTTTAGTCACCTAGGCCAGAGTCCAGAAGGATGTTCTTCTTACACTTTTCCGAAGATAATGGGCCCAGCCAAGGTAACTTTTGGAAACCTTAAGAATAAATTGTAATAGTGACTTCCATTCCAAAGGCAACTCTGTACTCTCTTTTTATAATATAGACAGGAGAAAAATGAAACATTTGCTGATAATGTTTGAACTCTAAAAGTTTCAAATATAGAGGAGCTGGGCTATGGGAAATGGTCTTTCTGGTATGAGGGAGAATCAGAAATCCTCCATAACTCCCCAAACTAGGATCTATTCTTGCAGCTAGGTGCCTAGCTCATTCTCTGCTGCTGTGTGGTGTTAAAAGACCAGGGCTTTAAAAGCATTAAAAGACCAGGGCTGTGCCCAGCTCAGGACGCCACCTGGTTTCTGTACAGATGAGTGGCATCCTCTGGAAGCCCTAAGATGACACCTTTACTTGGAGAGTCACAGGAGATACTCTTCCACAACCACTTCCAGTCACAGCAGCCTCTTCGTGGGTGGTTTTAGTTGTGTGTTCAGGTTCCCTGAGTGGTTCAGTGGCTGCTCAGGTCTGTCACTGTGTCTCTGGAAACTTGGTTGCGCAGGCTTAGTGTGCATGACTGCAAGGTGATCACAAGACTGGAGCATGGAGAGCAGGGGCTAGGGGATGGCTCAGCCCACACTCTTTGAGGTATGAAAGGGCTGGCGTTGGAGTTGAGCCTGTTTTCACTGACTGCTAGGTTTTTGTTGTAAATACGTATTTTTTAAATCTCATTATTCTGTCATAGACCCTGAGTTACTCTACAGATTTTAACTTTGAAAAGCTGGGCAGAACCAACTCTAAGGCTTAGGGCATTTGACTATGAAAATACTATTTTTCCAGAAGAAAAATTGGAAATACAGAGAAGGATATCTGCTTAGGGATCTCAGTTTGATAGAAACAATCTTAGTCCTCACTTTCCTTTAGTCAGGTAGAGCTAAGTACTAGTCTCTGTGCAGGTAAAGAAACCTGTCAGAGCTAGACCACTGGGTAAAATCTCCAGGGAAAGGAAATTAGAGAGTTAGGGTGTCTAAAGTTTGGTTGGCATTCACTGTGACCATCATTTTCCTTTTTTTTTTTTAATTATTTTTTTCTTATATAGTTGTTTATGGTATATTAAATAAAAAATTATAGCTGTGTGGGTTATCAAGTCAGCATCTGCTTCAAGTCATTTCTGCCCTGGGCTCCCTGCTCTTGCCTCTCCAACATAGATACATCCAGAAGCAAAAACACCTGCAAACCTTCTAGAGAGCCTAAGATGGCTTCAGCACATTTTGCAACAGCATTGCCTATTGAGGTCTTCAGTTTCTCCCTGAACAAGAAATCCTGGCAACCTCAAAAGACCACAAGGGAATCTCCCTATGTCTGCTGTTCTGAGGTTAACTGACCTTTGTTTTATTAAGTTAATGTCTCAATCCTACTTTTCATTTCAGGCAGCCGAGATGCTTATTTTCGGAAAGAAGTTAACCGCTGCAGAGGCATGCGCTCAAGGACTTGTTAGTGAAGTGTTTCCTGATAGCACTTTTCAGAAAGAAGTTTGGACCAGGCTGAAAGCATATTCAAAGTTGCCCCCAAATGTTTGTGTTCTTTTTTTTTCTTTTTTAATAGTAGAAACCATGGAAATAATGTATTTGCCTTAAGAGAATAAGGAATTCAAAAAACAAGACCTATCTTGGTTAGCTTTGAGCATATCTAAATTTGAGATTAAAAATAACAATAATAATGTTAGAAACACTGATTTTTATAAAACTTTTCAAATAGACATTTCATTTCTCTGATATGTAGGAAGGCAGAGGGGCAGTTCTTTCTGGGGATGACTTTGAGGAGGATGATAGGCATTATTTGCTGAGCACTTTTATTCTTGAATCCAGGTGAGAAACCAGATAGGTTGACCTTGAGGAGATTCTTATCATGCAGCACTTTTGTGGGGGTGGGGCGTTGGTTTTTGTTTTTATTTTAAGTTTATTTATTTATTTTGAGAGGGAGCACAAGCAGGGGAGGGACAGAGGGAGGGAGAGTGAGAGAATCCCAAGAAAGCTCTGTGACGACAGCACAGAGCCAGACATGGGTCTCAAACCCACCAACCTATGAGATCATGACCAAGAGTTACACACTTAACCAAAGAGCCATCCAGGCACCCTGCACTTTCATTTTTATATGCAGCTAACTGGTGACTGATCGCTCTTATAGTCTTTCTGCCCAAAATGTGGTCCTGGAACCAAAAGCTTTAGTATCTATCTGGGGCTTTTTACAAATGTGGAATCCCAGGCCCTCTCCCACACCCATCAAAGTAATTTGTATGTGCATTATAGTTTGAGAAACACTGTCCTATGTTATACCTGTATCTGAACGTGTGACAGGATTAAGTGAACAATGGAGAAACAAAAATCAGAACTATGGGGTACCCTGTTACAATGCCTCTTAACCTTATTGTTGCTTTTGTGTTTTCAGGCCATGAGAATTTCAAAACAGGTCATCAGGAATAGGGAGAAAGAAAAGCTACATGCTATTAATGCCGAAGAAAGCAGAGTCCTCCAGGAAAGATGGCTGTCAGATGAATGCACAAATGCAGTCATGAACTTCTTAACCCGAAAAGCCAAACTGTGATGCCTATCACCGAAACATTAAACATTTCAAAGGAAGGGATGTGCTATCATTTGTGGTTTCTAATACTTGAACTGAATAAACCGTGCTGAATTATCACTTACGATTATCCTACTTCACTAAAGCCCTGGTGAAAAACAAATGACATGTAAAACAAGAATCTACAGAGGTTTTTGGTCGTAGCGAGTCTTACATCTTTTGACATGAAACGCTGTTGCCAGGAACACTGAAACATTGTGCCTGTGGTCCTGCTTTGAAAAGCATTCACAGCATTACAAGCTGAAGTCAGGTCTTCGAACACCACGATAGCACTTTGCCGTCCACAGAAGGTGACTGACTTAATTGGCCCAAACACTGACAGCCTCTGGACTACTGACTGGAGGTCTTCGGCGGGTTGCATGTTCTTTTTCAACCATCTAGCAAGGGAGCAAATGGAGCAGTAGTACTATTAGAAAATAAGTAAGAATCTTATTTCCATTTTTTCCCCCATAATTTAATAAAAAAGGCATGAAGGGAAAATTGGGGTATTTCATTGGAAATAAAAGCAGTGTTCTGGATCCGTAATTACATACTTAACTATTACATAGTCTTCATTCTTGTTTAACGTGTTAGGTTATAAAAGGCATACCTACAAGCTACCTTACCTGTCCTTGCAACTTTCTGCTTTGATTGGCACCATATCTATTAGTTGACAAGGATGAGGGTGTCATTCCAGTGGCTACAAAACCATCATGGAATATTTTGCTCTTCTAAATACCTCTTTCCTTTTCAGTCTTTCCTTCAAGCCTCAGTATACAGGTAGCCAGCCCACTGAACCTGTAACTTTTGAGGTCTTCATTTTTTTATTCCAGTATTATAATCCAAAATGTTCAGTCTTACTGAAAATATATGAATAGTAATAGCCATTGTTTTGAGCACTTACTGTTTGTTACAAGTGTTAGATGGCCCATAACCACATTTTATCCTCAAAAAGCAGTGCCACAAGTTGAAAATGATGTGGGTACTGTTGCTTCTACCATTTTACAAGTAGGGATGTAGAGTAAGGAGCTTTTCCAGAGTCAAACTCACAGGCAGTGTTGCAGAGAGTTACAGTTCCACTGTGTTACCATGAGCCTACTACTGCCTACCCTCCCACTAATTTCATCTAAAATCTCTGGGCAAAAGATGTGAAACAATTCCTTGCAGATGCTGAAATTGAAAGCAGATGGATTGTGTTAGGGCATCAAAATACAAAGAAGCAACTGCACAGGGATGAGTTTCTCTGATGGGAAATGAAACAGTTGCTGGGCCCTCCTGAGCATGGGACATCCACCCAAAGGCAGGCCCCCATTAAACCTTGCAGTGGTGGCCAACAGTACACCTGGCCAAATAAAATCTGAGATAAAGGAAAACCTTTTTCTAATCAGAGAAAGGATTCCCTGGGGGGGTAGAGAGTAAGCATGAGGACAATCCCCGAGCAGAGAGAGAGACATGTTCCCCTAACTGAACACACACAAGTCTCAGGTTCATGAGTGGACAAAACACACAGAAGGCTTTGAAGACTGCACTGGGATTTTTGATCATCACCCACACAAGATTAAGATAGAGTGTATAGTCTCTAAGCAGGTTGATTACTTGCTAAAACAAAAACAGCAACATTCTCCAAACGATTGTAGCAGGACCCACAAAAACAACATTCTCCAGACAATGTCAACAGGACCCAGGATCCATGCAATATGTAATATTTAGTGTCCACGGTACAATGCAAAATGATTTGACATGCAGAAGACCATGAAAATGCAAACAGGTGAAGAAAAAGCACACGTCAATCCTGAGATGACCTAGATGTCATTGTCCTACAAAGTTTTTAAACTAGTTTTTGTGACTGTTCTACAAGGTAAAGCACACTTGAAATGATGAAAACAATGTGGCTTCTCAGCGCAGAAACAAACTACCAAAGGAGATGCAAATACAAACTTTAGAACTGAAAATCTGAAATTTAAGAAAGATGATCTGAAGGGCTTCGCTAGCAGACTCGGTGACGAAGGAGTCAATAAACTTGGAAGGTGGATCTACAGAAATTAAGCAGTGCAAAACACAGAAGAAAATACTGGGAAAAGATGAATAAACAGTGACATCAGCAAGATGGCAAGCTAGGAAGATTTAGGCCTCATTTTCCCATAGAAACATCAAATAACTACAGAAACTGAACACCTAAACAAGTGAATGTCCAACACAAAATCACTTTGAATTTTAAAAGAAATTGTGTGGCATTTTTACTTGCCCTTGCCCCACCACTTCCCTGCATGGTGCGGTTGGAAGGAATTCACCTGATTCTTGGCTCCCTCCCTTGGGATGAAAGGAGCATAGTGGAACTTGTTTGCAACATTCTGACCTATCTGTGGACTGTCTGAGGAACTGTTTGCTGTCTTGCTGGAGTCAAAGTTCAGAAGGGAAACACTGCCATAATTTGGATGTGAGACAAGAAACCACAAGAGGCAGTGGCAGTCAATGGAACACATGAAAAGTACAAGCTGACTGCAGATGAGAAAGATTACAAAATAGTGGAATACCGGGGCGCCTGGGTGGCGCAGTCGGTTAAGCGTCCGACTTCAGCCAGGTCTCGATCTCGCGGTCCGTGAGTTCGAGCCCCGCGTCGGGCTCTGGGCTGATGGCTCAGAGCCTGGAGCCTGTTTCCGATTCTGTGTCTCCCTCTCTCTCTGCCCCTACCCCGTTCATGCTCTGTCTCTCTCTGTCCCAAAAATAAATAAACGTTGAAAAAAAAAATTAAAAAAAAAAAAATAGTGGAATACAATAGAATACTTAAGGCCCCAAGAAGAAGGTGGAGATTCTTCAGGATATTAAGACATTTAAAAGCTGAGGGAAATTTTTAAAACATACAGACCTGGACAGGAAGCATGCCCAGAAAAGACCTGAGAAGGCCCAGGCTGCTCTGAAGACTCATGGTCCCACTAATGAGAGAAGGTCTTACCCATCAGTGTACGAGGGGCCTGTTTTTGCAAATGCCCACTTTTCAACAAAAGGTCATAGGCATGCAAAGAAATAGAAAAACATGGAAGCAAAAATTTCAGAAACAAGCAAAAAGGCACCTAGTTATTAGACAAGGATTTTAAAACAAATGTCAGATACCTCAAAAGAGCTAAAGGCTAATATGGACAAAGAACAAAAGGACATCAGGAAAACAGCATGTGAAGATAAAAGTGTATTGACAAAGAGGTGGACTGTTTTTTTAAACTGAACAAATTCTAGGACTGAAAATTACAATAATTGGAAACATTCACTAGGGCAGTTCAGCAGCCAACTTGAACAAATAGAAGAAAAATCAGCAAACTTAAAAAGAGGTCATTTGAAGTGATCAAGCTTGAGGAGCAAAAACAAGAATGTTAAGTGAATAGAGCCTAAAAGACTTAGGGGACAGACTCTATCAGGCTGACTGCTATACACACAATGGGATCCCCAGGTGGAAGAGGAGGAGAGAGGGCAGAGTGATCATTTGAAAACAAGAATGACTAAATTTGAGGAAAGATGTGGATATATAAATCCAAGAAGCTCAGTGAACTAGAAGTAGGATAAACATAAAGACACCTACACTGAGCCACACTATAGTGACACTGGTCAAAGACAAGGAGTGAATCTTAAAAGCAGCAAGAGAAAAGCAACTCATTATAAATTTATTTTTAATGTTTTTTTTTATTTTTGAGACAGAGACAGAGCATGAGCAGGGGAGGGACAGAGAGAGAGGGAGACACAGAATCCGAAGCAGGCTCCAGGCTCTGAGCTGTCAGCACAGAGCCCAACACGGGGCTCGAACTCACAAACCGTGAGATCATGACCTGAGCTGAAGTCAGATGCTCAACCTACTGAGCCACCCAGGCACCCTGAAAAGCAAATCATTTTAGAAAGTGATCACCAATAAGATAATGAGCAGATTTCTCAGCGGAAACCTTGCAGTACAGAAGGCAGTAGGATACATTTAAAGCACTGAAAGGAAAAGAAAAAAAAAATGTCAACTAATAACTCTACATTTGGCAAAACTGCCCTTCAAAAATGAGGGAGAAATTTAAGACCTTCCAATGCAAAACCTGGGCATTCATTACTTCTAGATCTGCCCTACAAGCAATACTAAACAGCATCCAAGTTGAAATGAAAGGGAGCTAGATAGTAATTCAAAGCCACGTAAAAATATAAAGTTCTCCAGTAAAGGTAAATATATGCACAAATATAAAAATAGTACTCTGATATTTGGGTTTGCAACTCCACTTTTTATTTTCATAGGATTTATTTGCTTGTTTATTCATTTGTTTTTATCTCTTTTAGCATGAGCAGGGGAGAGAGGCAGAGAGAGAGAGAGAGAGAGAGACAGAATCTCAAGCATGCTCCACGCTCAGTGCAGAGCCTGATGTGGGGCTAGATCTCACAACCCTGGAATCATGACCTGAGCCAAAATCAAGAGTCAGATGCTTAACTGACTGAGCCACCCAGGAGCCCATATTTTTTATAGGATTTAAAAGACAAATGCATAAGATGTAATTATAAATCTATGTTCATGGGTATGCAATATGTAAAGATTTAGTTTGTGACATCAGTAACAGGGGCAGAGCTCTAAAGGAGTTTTCTTATGCAATTGAAGTTGAGTTGGTAACAATTTAAGATAGATTGTCACAACTTTAGGATGTTATATATAATCCCCATGGTAACCACAAAGAAAATATCCATAGAAGATACACAAAAAGAAATGAAAAGAGAATCAAAATGTGTTGGTACAAGAAATCAACCAAACACAAAAGAAAGCAGTTATGGAGAAAATGAGGGAAAATATATAAAACATACAGAAAACAACATGGCAAAAGTAAGTGCTTCCCTATTAGTAATTACTTCAAATGCAAATGGGTTAAATGCTCCAAAAAACATGGACTGATAGAATAGATAATAAAACCAGTCAGGATTCAATTCAATTATATACTGCCTACAAGAGTCTCACTTTAGATCTAGGGACATGCTTGGGTTAGAAATGAAAGGATGAAAAAAATACTCCATGCAAATAGTAAGCAAAAGAGAACACGGATGGCTATATGCATTTAAAAAAAAAAAAAAGGAGACTAGAAAACTCTTACAATAGATAAAGACATAATGTAATGGTAAAAGGGCCAATGAGGCAAGAAGGTAGAACAATTATAAACATGTATTAACATTTTATAAACACACCAAATATTAGAGCTCCAATATATAATCTTATGATTCCATTATAAACCAATGGAATAGAATAGAAAACTCAGAATAAACTTTTGCATGACTTTATTTTTAATGATGAAATGATTTTTGACAAAGGTGCCAAGACCATTCAATAGGGAAAAGATGATCTTTTCAATAAATGCTGGGTGTTTTGTTTGGATAAAACAAAATGTAGCATATACATACAATGGAATATTATTCGGCCTTCAGAAGCAAGGAACTTCTGACACACAACATGATGAACTTTGAGGACATCATGCTCAGTGAAATAAGCCAGACACAAAAGGACAAATATTGTATGGTTTTACTGAGTTGAGGTATCTAGATTAGGCAAATCCATAGAGACAAAAGTAAAAATAGTGTTTGTCAGGAATTGGAGAGACGAGGAAATAGGAGTTAGTGTTTAATGGGTGCAGAGTTTCAGTCTAGGAAGATGAAAATGTTCTGGAAATATGGATGGTGTGATGGCTGCACAGCAGTGTAGAGGTGCTTAAAGCCACTGAACTGTACACTTTAAAAATGGGGGAAATAGAACATTTTACATACATTCTACCATGATAAAAATATTTTTAAAACAATATAATTCACCATATTAATAGAAAAGATAAATATGATCAAGTCAGTGGATATAGTGAAAGCATTTGACAAAATTCAATATCCATTATGACAAAAACTAAGCAAACCAACAACAGTAGTGAATTTCTTCCAACTGATAAAAGTAACCTGCAAAAACCAATAGCCAACAAAATACTGAATTATTTTTTCCTGACATTAAGAACAATGAAAAGATGCCTGCTTTTACCAGTCCTAGTTTTTAAGAAAAGCAAATAAATGTTTGTAGAAGAAAATATGAATAAATATGTCACTTCTTATGTTCTAACAATCTGGCTATATTTTTCAGAAACCAAACAAACTAGGATGTAAAGTAAAATATATTAGTTCACATCAAGACATTATGGCCTGAAATTGAGGTGTATAAACTGTTGTTATCTTTCTTTATAGGCCTCCAAAGTATGGTCAAATAATCTTAACTTGAGTAATCAGGAATCATCACTTAAAATAGCTTCTATCCTTAATCTGAACACAAGTTTAGTGCCTTGTATTGTTCAAGAAGAAAATACCATCATTCTAATTCTTTTATAACATATCTTTGCCTTCATTGAAAATGGATTTTTAAATCCAATTGTCAAGTTATGCCACTGAGGACATTGGGGGGAGAAATGTAGACAAGGAAATTCTTTCCAAGTGGGAGCTTCCAGTACAGGTAAAATTCATGAGCTGGAAATCTCTCCCTGTCTGTTACCTTCAAAGCAGAGAGAACTCTGTCTTTATAGAAAATTATATATTCTCCTGTCAGCCTGGCAACAACATTTTTTGAATACCTACTAAGTGCTACATGTAGAAATCACTTATTAGGTATTGTATAGCAATACATGCAGCAATACTGAAGAAACAAATCTGGAAACATCCTCTGTCTGGCATTATCAGGGAAGGAAGTGTACCAACAAAGATAATTTTCCAAGGAAACCAAAGCTTATAACTTTAAGTGCCAGAATCCAACCAATTCTACATCCCCACTGTTACTACCGGTCTGAGACCTACCATCCCTCTCCGCTTCCCCCCTGGTACCCCTAGGGGCCAGGGAGGTTTCAGATGAGATTGTATTGCCCTTATTTTTAAGACCCTGAAACGGCTCCCATTTCTGTCAGCGTAAAACCTGCACACTATACAGATAACGCTAAGGTTCCACTATTTATACTATTGTATCCTAGGCCACTAGTCATGCTAGGGGTGGGCTGGTGCTTCCTGACTCATGCAGCATAAAAGCCCCATAGCTCTGTAGTCGAGTCCCTCACCCAAGAATGCCAGCCCAGCCCGGCTAGATGTCTGCCTACTAACGTGAAATGCAATGGCCCATGGGAGACCCACACACCTCCTATCTCCGTGAGTTCTCTCTCTCTCAGAATTTTGTCTTCATGAGTTTTGTCTCTGAGAAAATGGGGCTTATATGCTTTTATACATAGCAATGCTTGTTTTCATGCTCATCATACATCTCAAAGAGCACATTAAGACATTTTTTGGCTAAGGCATGAAGAGTTTGTGATCACACTAAAAGTAGATGCCTACCTGACAACTATGGTTGACATTGGAGGTTCCTCAAGGCTTTTATTCCACAATTGACATTTCTTCCACCCACGATTTGCATTGTTGATGCATTTTCTTCTCCACAGGGGCATGCTACTTGGATTGGGAGTCAGATTAATCTCTTTTGGAAACTGATGTCTTGCTAAAATCCTTTCTAAGCCAGAGAATTCAGAATTCCGACCTAGTAATAGAATTAACATTCATACGATTCAGTGTTCCTTTCCATCTTTGCATAGCGAGAGTAACATGGCATTAGTTTGAGAAAGAATATTTATACCATTTAATAATTGCTATTGAGCTCCGCCATTCCTTCACTGCAAAAGTATACTTGAGCAACATTCAGACCTTAGTCTGGTCCTAGACATCTAATAGATGCACAACAAATAAATAAATGAATGAACAAACCAATGTGCTGGTACCACCACAAATATTGAAGTTTGTTTAAGTAATTTGTGTGTGATTCTCAAATTAATGGCAATTTACTGTTCCATTATTTCGATCTTCAGAGAGATTAACCATACCCTGTATTTACATCACATCCACTACTTCACGTTGCCCTTGTTTGGCCCCTAACCAAATCTCTCGTCTGCGGTGGGACAAAGAGCTTGTGCCAGAATATAATTCAGTATACTGCTTCCGTCATCAAAACAGTCCTGCTACCAAAAGAAAGGAAGAGAGGGAAGGAGGGAGGGAGGAGGCAAGGAGGGAGAGAAGAAGGGAGAGAGGGAGGGAAAGAAAGGAAGTCAGTAGAACTGCATGGTGGATTTGGTGACATACCACCATACATACACTGTAGTGTAAGCTTCTCTCTTTGCCAACTGGTAACAAGTTGAGAACCAAAACCAGTTTGCCAGCTACACTGTGAGTGGCTCTGCAATGCAGCTGGGTGTATTAGAAAATAAGAGTGCCGTGATCAACCTAATGCAAGAAGAGAAACTGAGCCCCAGTGATTCAGGGTGACCCTGCATAGAAATTAGTTCCCAACTCAGCCAGCCTCTGTTGTTTCTCGGACTGAACCACTGATGGTCCATCCCAGACAGGGTAATTGGCACAGACTCCAAAGAACCAAGAATTGACTCAAGAGGCCATCTCTTGGCAATCTAAATGATGTAATGATTAATAGATCAATCTTTAGAGGACTGCAAATCATTCCAAGTGAGTAAAAAACAGGAATCTGGGGCTCCTGCCCAGTGGTCTCAGGCCTGGCCCAGACAGCATTCACATACTGCTCCTAGAAGCAGTTTTAGCTCAGGATCCCATGGCGGGTGGGGGCAGGGATGCCGCACTCAGAAGCCCTTACACTCTAATGATAGGAATAGCATGGTTTGCTTTGGTTGTCACAATTTGGAAGCTAATTTATTTGTTTATATTTTTTTACTGTTTATTTATGTTAAAGAGAGACAGAGAGTGAGCAGGGGAGGGGCAGAGAGAGAAGGAGACACAGAATCCAAAGCAGGCTCTAGACTCTGAGAGCTGTTAGCACAAAGCCTGATGCAGGGCTTGAACCCATGAAGTGTGAGATCATGACCTGAGCCGAAGTCAGAGGCTCAACCAACTGAGCCACCCAGGCACTCCTGGAAGCAAAATGTAGTATTTGACTGAAATAATAAACCCAATTCAGGTATTTGATGACATCCAGCTAAAAATAATTTTTGCCTTAAATGAATTGTTTTTTATTGTCTTGTGTACACATACTTTGGAATTCTAAACTGCCTCAAAAGTAAGTAATCAAGGATGAATTAGAAAGGATAACATTTAACAAATATAACAACTTCTCATATTCTCCAGCATAAAATTTATATTTAGCACTGCACACCAAAATAAGATAAAAACTCAGAACTCACTTTGAATATTTAAGTCTTACTGCCAGCCTTATCTGAAATTATAAGCAAATTTCCTGGTTTTGAAAGAAAGTACAGAAAGTATAGTTATGCCTCCAGAAATTATTGGAAATAAAATGATATTGATTATAAATTTATAGATGAAAATTAGATATATTGGACTGTGAGCTGCTTTGAATGGTTTTTGATTTCTTATTTTTTTTTGAGAGAGAGAGAGAGAGAGGCAGGTGGGGCAGAGGGAGAGGGAGAGAATCTCAAACAGGCTCCATGCCCAACACAGAGCCCAATGCAGGGCTCAATCCCACAGCTGTAAGATCATGACCTGAGCTGAAATCAAGAGTCAGATGCTTAACTGACTGAGCCACCCAGATGCCCCAATTTCTTATTTTAATGTGTGGAATGCAGTACATGTTAGATGGGTGGATGGTTTGAAGAATGGATGGATGAGTTTGTAATCACAATACAAATCAGCATAGATAATGTATATAAACCAGTACACAAGCCAATGTGTGTGTGTACCAGACGCAGTAGAAAATAGGTAACTTAAAACTGGAGGCTTTAAAATGACTTGTTGCTTTTACACCTCAGAATTGTCTTTAAGGCACACACAAAAGTCTCCAGCTGGCACATGAACAGGACATACACACACACACACAGACACACACACATGCACGCACGTGTGCCTCTTCTAGAGCTGCCCCGTTCATCTCCTCCCGGAGCCCACTCCTTCTGTGGAATCCACTCTTCCTGCTTTCCCTGCCCCTCACTGCATCCAACTAAGCAACCTCCCAAAGTATCTGTGGGGAAAAGCCATGAATTAACCAAGAGAGGTAGCTTCTTAAGCATTAAAAACAATATACTAAAGCTTCAAACTTCCTCCCATTTCCTACTTTTTGGTTTGGTACCAGTCATTGAGAAAACTGGTCTGGAGAATGTATTAAACAGAATATGACCAGGAAACCTATGAGATCTGCTTGTAATTTTACCCAAACATGATGGCTGAAGAGCAACAGAATGGTCACAGGGGAAACCATGACAAAAAAGAAAATTATTTTCTACTTATTCTTTGCCAAGTTCAACTCATTTAATAAGCCAGTAACATACATTTTAAATTTCGGCAAAGACTTTCAAATTATCTTCAAAAAAGCCTGAATCAATAGCATTCTAATAATGATTATGAGGGCATTAATTTCCCCACATGTTCACCAGTATTGATCTTTTAAAACTTGACCAGTCTGATGGCCTAAAAAAATATTGCCTTGATTTATCTTTTACTTCCTTGACTACCAGAGTGTTTGAACAGCGTTCATGCTTATTGATAATTTGTATTTCATCTTGTGAATTGTCCGTCTATATTTATCTACTCTAGGAGGTTGCTTTTATTTTCCTTGATTATTTTTATGTAATCTTTAGTGTAATCTGGAAATTGGGATCAATTCACAATACTGTGCATTCAGGGACTTGGGACTAAGCAGAATATAAATGGACAAATTTGCCATTAAACCTTCCTCCCCAGGACTGTGTCTTAAGCACTGTGGCAACTGCTATTTTCCTTTCTAAATTCATGGACACAAGTGGCTACCAGCTACCTTTGTCTTTCACTGAAGCAGGAACAAACACTTCAGGAGGCAGGCCCCACCCAATTCTACGAATCAGTCCAGTTATAAACAGCTCTGAGAGAATTCCAGGACTGGGGGCTGCTCCAAACTCCAGAAAGGGAGGGGCATTTATAATCCTTGGTGGCAGGGTGGGGCGGGAGGGAGAGGGAATATCCGGCTTCTCTGTGGGGTGGAACAGTAGGAGGAAGGCACACCAGGAAATAGAGCAAAGGAATAAGCTTCTAAGCCTGACCTTCAACTTGGACATTCCCTTACTCATCTTCAAATCAAATCTGAACCTGTAAATTTAGAGATTATTTCCCACTTAATCCACTTTCCATCATCCCAGAGGTAGACTTTGCCTGAAGAACAGTGACAGACCTCACTTGGTTCATAAAAGACCAGTCCAATAAACGAAAGGGAAGAAGGGAGCTCAGAGAGCATGGACCCCCAGAGCATAATCAGCATGCCAAGGACTGACCACACCTGCCATATAAAGAGTCAGTTCTTAGTCATGGTAAAAGCAGAGGCAGGGGGTGGCTGGGTGGCTCAGTCAGTTATGAGACCAACTCAATTTCGGTTCAGGTCATCATTTCACAGTTTGTGAGTTTGAGCCCCTCATCAGGCTCTGTGCTGATGTGTAGGGCCAATTTGGGATTCCCTCTTTCCCTCTCTCTCTCTGTGCTCCTCCCCTGCTTGCTCTCTCTCTCAAAATAAATAAAAATATTTAATAAATAAATAAAAGTAGAGGCAGTTTTACACCAAGACGAAGTATATGCTTACTAAACAGAGTTCACGCCCATCCTCTGCCCACATACAATTTTGTTTGTCCTCTTCCCTCTTGTAGAAGTAGAGTGTCTCCATCATATGATTTGGCAGCAGTTTGTGAAGGTTAGACAGGGTCTCAAAGGTGTGACACAGAACCTCAGGTTGGGCATAGTTTTTCTGTGTCTTGGGTTTGTCAAGGAGGGGAAGTTTCAGTACAGTGTGGTTGTTCTTGGCTGTCCCCATGATGACCCACTGAGTTACAGAGAAGAAAAAATAAGGAATCAGAAGGGTAGAGTGCCCCACAGTTGTTCTTTCTCCCCGCTTTCCTCCATCTCGGAGAAGGTATCACAGAATCTATTTTCTGGTCTCAGATCACTTAGCATTCTGAGAGTCACAATGGCCCAGATCTTAGCCTGGAACCCTGAATGCTCATCCTATCTTCAAACCAGAGGAAATCAGCCTGTCAAAAAGATCTTGCCAACTCTTATGGGGATTTCAGGCAGAAACTCATTTCCTGTCTGAACGTGGACAACAGCTGAGGCAAACAGAGTACTTTCCTAAAGGCAAGAGGGGAAGCCAACACATCCAGTGTTGATTTTCCATCTGGCACTTCATGGAGGCCTGTGTATACATAATTGAGACTCCGCAGACCTACTAGGCCCCAAGGGAAAGCAATTACCTCCATACAGTCCTCAAGCTGAACTGAGCGAAGAGCTTCATTGTCCACAACTGAGGAAATGTCCAGATTAACACAGGTAGGAGGCCAACCTGCTTCTTATTCTCTTATCCGAACAGAGTCAACCAAATGCTCCATTCTAGCTTTACTGGCAGAAGCCAGTCCTCACTGTGGACCCAGAGCAGAAGTACTAAATGATCTTGACCCACCATAGCTGATAGCATAGCCCTGAGCAAGGTAGAAGGTGTCAAGAACTCCTCCCAGGTTTGAGGCCAAAATGCAAACAGTTAGGGTTGTTCTAGCTACTCCTTAACCTCAGCATGCTTCGCCACCTGAGCCAGGGTCACCACTTTGCTGTATCCCATGAACTGGCTGGTAACCGCACTGCAAAGTGATCAGAAATGAGGAGATCCATGTGAGCCAAGCACGCTACGAGCCAGCTGGTAGTGCTTGCCAGCTTCTTACCAAACTTCAAAGCCCTTGGTCAGGACCACAGTAGCATCATGGTTATATCATGTCATACATTAGTGCCCAGAGCAGAAGATACAAAATTTTATTTCTGAACTTTCAAATTAATTTTTAATTTGCAAACTTAAAGAGTAAGGCTTTAAAAAAAAACAAAAGGGTTTACTTTGAATATATTTAAAATATGTTAGAGAATCAGAATCACTTGAATATAATGTGATTCTCATGATTTCATGGGTGTTTTTGGAGACAGAAGGGAGCTTGTGGAAGTGAGGGGGGTAGGATATTTTGATAGGTGGAGACTTCTTTCTTCCAAGCAAACTTGAATATGTTACCCTAAATATTATTTTATATAAATAGAAAAGAACGAACCATGTTTTAAGCTATTCTACAGGCCAAGGAAGTGATATATTGCATGTAAGTTGATATATATATATATATATATATATATATATATATATATATATATTAGGGTTACAATACCCTTGACTATATTCCCTGTACTATACCTTTCATCCCCACCATTTGTTCTTAATCATTGCTCTAAATAGCAACTGATGGAATGTTTCCAGTTATTTGGCTTATTTACCTTGGCTGAAATCAGAAGTAGGCCACGGGATTATATTTTATTTTTAAATAAACTCTCTGATGGATAAATGTCTTCTGCAATGGATAAGACTGCTTCAAGGAATCCATCTCATTCACTCTATGTGTGGTGCAGTGGAAAGAATACCATTCAGGACCAGGGTCAGCAGTCGGAGGCTGGTGCCCCACTGCTGTTGACTAGCTGTGTGATCTTGATCTCAGCCAGCCAGGTCTCACCCTACAGAACTAATGTCCTCTGATGAAACATCCTTCTAGTTTGTATCTTGTTTTGAATTTGGCTTATTTCCAATTCTGTTCTTCCATGGCCAAAAAATCTACATTTCCAAAACCACATTTGTAATATATAATTATTTTCTCAAAAGAAAGATGAGAGAGAATGTTCCTAAGCCAGTGCTCTCTTTCTTTCTTATTGTGACAATGAGTTGCTATGAAGGGCCAGCCGTGCCTCTCAGGTAGTAGCACTGTATTATTAACTAAATTGATCCCACAGCACAGCACCTGCAGGACGCTGCGTTGTTTTTCTAGTTAGGCTGATCTCTTCTTCATGACTTTTAGGTAAACGGCAATTCCTTTTTTTGTTCCAAAGAGGGCTGTTGTGTCTCCCGAACACCTTCCCCTTCCCCTCTGCCATGGTGGATGTGACAAGATCAGCTGGCTTCCAGAAGGCAAAATATTCAGTAATGTTCAAAGGGAAAAGATCATCTCCAAGTTTCTTAAAGAAAGCGTTCTAAAGAGAGTGTTCCGTTCAAAGCAAATGAGGTGGGAGGGCTCCGGCTACCAGAATGAGGACCTAAGCGACAACTTTCCTGGCACCAGAAAGTAAGTCCTGCTCCGGAAACTTAAACATTCAAAGTACATTTGGGATACAAGGCTAAGAGCATAGGCATCTGAAGGACAGGAAGCCATAAAGCTATGCAAACTGCAGAAATCTAGTCTTGCAGGAAAATCTAAATATAGGTAGACATATATGACTGAGAATTTATTCAACAGTATGGGCTGCAACACATACAGGTGTAGAATTTGCAAAGGTACGTGCTTAGCTTTTGGAAATATATCCCTATGGATCACTAGCACATTTGTTCTAAGAATAAATAGGTCCTAAACAAGCTTTTTTATGTTTTTGCAACAAAATGGTGGTCTCCCACATAAGGGAGCAAAGTGTTCAAGGTTAATTTTTAAAAGAGAAATGCAACTTCTAACCAAAAAAATATTTTTATACATTATTTCCTTTTTTTTTTTTTTTTTTTTTTTTTTTTTTTTTTTTTTAATTTATTTTTGGGACAGAGAGAGAGAGAGAGCATGAACGGGGGAGGGGCAGAGAGAGAGGGAGACACAGAATCAGAAACAGGCTCCAGGCTCTGAGCCATCAGCCCAGAGCCTGACGCGGGGCTCGAACTCACGGACCGCGAGATCGTGACCTGGCTGAAGTCGGACGCTTAACCGACTGCGCCACCCAGGCGCCCCTATACATTATTTCCTAAAAAGGAATTAGACAAATCCAAGAAAGTTAGGACATTTAAGGTAAATGCTCACAGAAATGGAGTCCTAAGTTGGGGTGAATATAATTGGCTATGGCTGAAACAGAAAGCAGGAGCTGGGAAAGCAGGAGAAAAGGAGAAGCAAAGGACTAGTTATCTAAATCATACACTAAATACAAATTGCCCAGAATTGAATTGAAATGTTTCCCACTGAATAGCCTCTTATGTACTTGGGAACAAAAATGCATATTACTAATTAGAAAATATGGCCTCGACTTTCTGAAAATATTTACGTAATTACACTGAACAAAATTCCACTGCAGTAAATAACCAGCTGTGACATTGACCATACAGCAGGGAAGAATAAAGGGAAGTGGAGGCAAATACATGAGCAATGTAAAAATATGAAAGGTCTTGAAAGAGGTGAATGGAAATAGAAGGGTTTCCCTGAAGAATCATTAGAAGCTAAGCAGTGTTGTCACTGACATCTCTTTACATAACTCTGGACGACAAAAAGGAATGTATGTTAAAGGGCTTTCCAAAATAGTTTTCTGTTGGTCAAAATTGTCACTTTTGTCATAGTAGGAGAAACTGACTTGATCAGCAAGCCATGCTTACCTGCCAAGTGATTGGCCCAAGACGTTCCTTCTTTCCACCAATTCAGACCACCTCCATTGCAATGAATGTAAGAGCTTGTTAAATGCCATGAGACATAGAACATCTCCCTTACCTTCCTTCACTGGATTAGCTAAAGAAGCGTTAAAGTAAGGCAAGTCTGATGCTGCCACTAAAATCTGAATTCCCGGAGTGGCCTTGGGATGGCCTATAAGGAAAGTGCACTATGTTGGGCTAAGGAGTGATGTTAGAGCTGCGTCAGAGCTACTATGGAAAACAATCCCCTGTCCAACGAATCATCTTGCTCTCAAGGCAGGACTAGAGCCAAACCAGACTGAAGGGTTTGGAGAGGGTGTGATTCTCTTAGCTGTTTCCCTTAGATTTCACACTGGCACATCATTTCACACTTTTTCTCTTGTCTCCTCGCCACCTAGACTGGGGCTCCCACATAGATAGTGTCCAGGGACTTTGCTGTCACTATAGTTATAAACCTGTAGTACTACAAACTATCAATTCAACAAGTGATTGGGGGGGGGCATGATTTTTATGCTAATGTCAAAGCATTAAAAAAATCTCCAGAGAAAGGGGGGAAGAGTCAAATTGATAAGAAGGTTTTTAGGAATATGTCCTGTCAAGAAAAAAAAAAAAAAAGAATCGTAGAGGATGTATTTAAGGATGACAAATCTGAGGGAGCTTAAGGGATTGGGAAGCAATTCATGTTCTGAAACAAAAGGAAAACACAGAAACAAACATAAACCAAGGAAGACAGGAGATGTGTGAGCTAGAAAAGTGACGTGCATGCCCACGTGCACATATACACACATCATTTTTGTCTTCTATCCCGACAGCAGAAAAAAAAATTTCCCAGCTAAATATATTTGTAGAAAGTATCATCTGGGAGTATCTGGACTTAAATATTTACCCAATTCACTATTTTTAAAATAATTGTAAGTTGGGAAAACAATATTTAAGGCTCAGGTTACCAATTTATAAAATAGGAATAACTATTCCCATCGTGTTATTAAAAGTATTAAATTGGTTAATCTATATAATCTATATAAAATGTTCAGCCTTATGCCTGCCACATGGGAACCCTATCCTAGCAAGTGTTATTTCTAGCAAATGTTATTTGTGGAGTAATTAAATTGATTCAAATATTTATTGCATGCCTACTATATGCCAGGGACCAGGCCAGATAGAATAAGTCCAGGCCTTGTCTTTAAGGCATTGAAAAGATAGTGACTGAGATATGAATGAAATGAAGAATTAGAATGTAACAGTGAGTAGGGAATTGTAAGCAAATCAGAATAACCCAAATGAAGAATCTTGGAAGAGGTAGCAATTTATTCTTCCTGAGGGGCTAAGGAAGATAATTTGTGAACTAGATTTATATGGATAGGACTTAACTAGGCAGGTAAAAGGGGGAGGAGAAAAAAAAGGAGGAACTATTAAAGAAAAAGAAAAATGATGTATGTCCTGGCAGAAAGAGAGTGTTTAAGAAAACTGCAAAATGTCTGAGGTGTTGGACATGCAGGCACCAGGAGTGATAAGCAGATACTTAAAACCTGGCTACAGAATTTGGACGTCATTCTTTGGGATTAGGAAGGCATTAGAGCAGGTCTATGTTTTATATCAGCAGTATGGAAAACAGTCTGGAGGACATAGCCTTAGAGGGAGACTTCCAAGGAGGCCAATGTGAAATTCATTCTCTTATATTTATTGTCCTTCTACTATGTGCTAGGCACAGTTTTAAAGTGATAGGGTAGATCAGTGAACTAGACAGTCAAGGCCTCCACCCTCACAGAGCTTTATACTCCAATGGGAAGAGACAGGCAATAGAAAAGCACACAAGATTAACAAGACTGTGAGGCATACAGTGAAAGAATAAAAATAGGGTCTTATGAAAGAGTAAAGTGGGTGGGAAGGCTTCTTGAAAGCCAAGCCAGGAAAGGCCTTTCTGAGAGGAAAATGGACATGCAGAAGAAGGAGACAGACACCTCTGGGCAGGGGGTGGAGGTGGGAGTTCCAAGAGCTGACAAACCCTTGAAATTCTGTTGGACATCTGGTTTATATGTGCATTTTCTGGGAAGACTCTCAAGGAGCATGACATCTCTTCCCCCCAAATGTTAAGAACCAGTGCATTTAGATGCTTAATGAAACATTTTGGTGTTCGAATCTATAGTTGGATGTTCAACCCAACAGAATGCAATAGTATCATCAGCAAATGATTGCAAAAATGTCTTTCTCAAATGTCAATGCTTTCTTATAAAGAATATTGCTGATTTCTTTAAACATTCTTTACTTATACACATATATCTTTATATATTATTATATGTTACTTATACATATATATCTTTAAATATTCATTTACTCATACACATATATCAGCCATAAATATGTAAATATTCACTTACATATTTACTTGTTATACATGTATATACACAATACTGCACATATAATAATATATCCATATCATATATATGCATACACGCTCCTTCCTCTTCCACCCCACACATTGATTTCATGGAACTGAAGTAAGAGATATACATTTGGAGGGCCAAACTGGTCTCCTATCATCTAAATTTATCCTAGATAGAAAAAAAAAAAAAATCAGCTTCTGTTCTTCTGTTGTAAGACCAATGACTGATCTGGAACCACCAGAGGTGGGCTTGCTCTCAGCGGGGATACCTTCCTTCTTCCATTTTAATTAAATTTACATATTATAAGCATGGATAGAACTGTACATATATCCGTGCACATACGTACATTTAGCCAGCCCGACCCCCTGGCTTCATTCGAACAGGTGCCAGGGACCTGCGGAGATCTCTTAGCTCGCGGTCAGGGTCAGGGCCAGGGCCCAGGAAGGCCCGAGAAGTCCCTGCGGCCGTGACCTCCGCCCTTGCGGAGCCTCGGGGCGGCCCCTCCACCTGCGATGGCTGAGTGCGCCTGTCCGCCCGCGAGGAGGAGCGGAGGGGCTCAGGGGCCTGGGCTCAAGGCACTGCCCTGGCGGCGCGGCTCGCCCCGAGGGGCTGGAGGCCTGGCGACCCCCAGAAGGCTCCGGGTCCAGGCGGCCCCCGACCGGCCCGCGGCCCCGGAATACCGGTGGCCCCGGTGGAACGCGGCGCCGTCGCGAGCGCCCCCGCTCGATGGTAGTTGCCGGGCGACCGGGCCGCTGGGGAGGCCCGCGGAGCCGCAGCCCCAGCCCAGGCTGGCCTCGCTAGGCCTGGCTTGGGCCCCTGCGCCCCGCAGGCCGTCCAGCGCCGAGGGGGGCGCGCTCGCGGCCAGCCGCCGTCCGCTGCCCCCCCTGTCCTCCCGCTGCAGGAAGGCCGAGTCCGAGGGGGCGCCCGTCAAGCTGTTCGCCCCGCACGCGGAGGGACCCGGGCCTCGGGGCAGCAGCGCCTTCGGGGACGACACCGACGACGACACGTGGGCCTGCGGCGCCATGGGGTAAGAGGCCGCGGCCCGGGGCGCCCCCGCGAGCCCCACCTGCTGTCACCTGCTCCGTGCCCCGGACCGAGCCACCCCCGGCCCGGGAAGGAAGGGTCAGGAGGGGTAGCTCACTACGGGGCTTTGTGCCTCCCACCTGCACCTCTCTCCCTGCTTTCCTGTCCTGCGGCTTCTTTCGCCGACGCTTTGTCACAAAGGTCTCCTTGTCTCTTGGCCCCTCCTCCAGGTGCGGTAGCCTTTTCCAGGCACCCCAGGCCCTACTCCATGGCACACACTTGGGGGGTCCCCAGGCTGTGCCACCTATTCAGCAAACTCCTTCCTCCTCCTTCATTGTTCCATCCCAGGGCCTGGCATAGAGCAGGTGGATCGATACCTGAATTGTACTCTTCTATTTCTTCAGGATCTGCCTCTCCTTCTAGGAGACAATAAATTGTAAATGATTAAGAAATATACTGATTACTGCGGTGGCTTTAATTTGTGATTCCACATAGTCATACATTAACCCACTGATTGTCTTGTCTGCTATCTTCTCTGATACTTCTACCTTATACAGTAGTGGGCTTAGAAACCATGATAGTTGGACATGGAAAATAGTGTTTGGTCCTTTGGGCCTTCTAGTGTCCCCAAAACATGCATGGGGGGCTATAAGGTTCATCTGGCTTTCAAATGGAGCACCTGTTTTGCCTAATGAAAAGCCAAAGAGTTCCTGGCCCTGTTTTATGAGTTCCAGATAATTGATGTATTTTTTCTAATTTGTTTTTTTTAATTTTTTTAATGTTAATTTATTTTTGAAAGAGTGACAGAGCAGGAGTGGGGGAGGGGCAGAGAGAGGGAGACCCAGAATCTGAAACAGGCTCTAGGTTCTGAGCTGTCAGCACAGAGCCCAACAGGGCTCACAAACTCACAAACTGTGAGATCATGACCTGAGTCAAAATAGGACACTCAACGGACTGAGCCACCAAAGTGCCCCTCTAATTTGTATTTTTTAAGTGTTTATTTATTTTGAGAGAGAGTGAGAGAGAGAGTGCAAGTGAGAGAGGGGCAGAGAGGAGGCGAGAGAGAATCTCAAGCCGACTCTGAGCTGTCAGCACTGAGCCTGACACTGGGCTCAATCCCACTAACTGTGGGATCACAACCTGAGCTGAAATCAAGAGTCAGATGCTTAACCAACTAAGCCACGCAATTGCGCCTCTAATTTGTATTTTATCTTTCTATCTGATATGTTTCCTTTCTCACTTAAGACCTTAATTTCCTAATCTTCTGTCAGTTAGATTTTAGAATTTGCTTTGTCTGTGCTTTTTTTTTTCGTCTGGCTTGCACCTTATTTCTGGTTGATTTCCTATTGTTACCTCTTCTCTGTCCTCATAGTTCCTTTGTCCTCCATTCTAAACATTTTTGTAACCTCCTTTAGATGAGGAGCCAAAGCACAAGCTTTGAAAAAAAAAAAAAATCACTGTTATACCTTACCCATCTATTGTGCCTGTCCCACAACCTGTGTAGGATTTTAAGGAAACAGAGATGCAAAATGGGAAGAAGAAATGGAGAGAACAATGGCACCACCCCGCGTGCATCCAGCATCTCGAAGGAGGTACGGCCTGTGGCAGTGACCTGAGCGTTAGGCAGCTGCTTTGCTAAGACAGAGCTCCTGCTGAGTCTTCCTGCTGAGACCCCTGCTGCTTTGTCATTGTGAGCGGTTTGTGTGGGATGTTCCTCTTGGGAACTTGCACTAATAGCAAAGGGAAAATTGTTATTTCTCTTAATGAAGGAGAAATTCACCAGCTTCCCTCCAAACCTCAAAACGCTTCCTGTTGCAATTGGACTTCGTGAAAGATGCCACCTCGATCCATCAGGCCGTGCTCACCTTGTAAAATCTTCTCACACATAACTTTGTGAAAAGTGTTGGTAAGGCAGGTGGGATATCAAAGAGCCTAATCGTTCCCAACCTGTAAGGAGTTTGCAATCCCGCTGATGTCGTGCGGAGTTAATAGCTTTCCTTACCAGTTGACAAATTGGGTTATATTAATCTCTTATTTAATAAATTTATTTATTTTTGAGAGAGAGAGAGAGAGTGCAAGCATGAGCATGGGAGGGACAGAGAAAGAGGGAGACAGAGGATCCAAAGCAGGCTCCACATTGTCAGCCCAGAGCACATCCCAGGGCTCTAACTCAGCAGCCCTGAGATCATGACCTGAGCCAAAATCAAGAGTCCCATGCTTAAGCCACTGAGCCACGCAGGTGCTCCTATATTAATAGTATTGGATGACCTCAGCCACAGTTAACAACTTCCCTTTAAGGTGTCACTGTAAGGATGTTTCTCTCACATGTTCTCTTGTGCATTAGTGGACCAGGATCACAGAGCTGAAAGAAGCCTGATAATCTGTCAGGGAGGTTTTAAAAATACAAATAACTGAGCCTTACCTTCATCCTACTGAGTCAGAACTTGTGGTAATTTTTTTTTCAAGTATTAGTTTTAAAAAGGTCCCCAGGTGATTCTCAGGAGACTAGACCTAATTACATGTTATCTCAGGGAGCAGGGAATTAACCTCCAGAGAAAGATAATCTGCAGGCTACCTTCCCAATGTTCAACTACCTTTCCTGTCAGGAGATAATTTTCTTGTGGGCCAGTTAAATCCTCAGACTGTATTTAAACTTATTCTCCCTGTTCCTCTTTTAGTTTTGTGATGACACCTAATGTTTTATTTGTGTATTGCTTAGAGTTTAATTTACAAAGGGTTTTCTTATTTTGAGATAGGAAATAACTGAGTTTGCTCCTAAAAAATTACTAAAAAAAATAAATAAATAAATTCCACCTCCTCATTTTGCCTATTCCAAGATAAATTGTTACAATCCTCTCCTACACACACCCCACATTCCCCCCCCCCCCCCGGGCATAGCACAATGTCTGGAACATAAAATATTCAGTACATATTAATATCTTCCCCTATTCATTTCTTGACTTGCTTTTGAATACTTCCTGAGTGTTTTTTCAATATCTGGAGTCTAGAATGATTGGTGGGTTGGTCAGTGTTGAGTATGATGTGAAGATTAGAGAATTTTTTTTGGTCGATGGAAAGATTTTATAGGATATCAGATCCCATGTTCGGATACAGAAAATTTGGCCAATGTGCCATGGTGCACCAGGGACACACAGAACTGGATATTTTATTGTATTTTTAAAATCAGTTTTGAAAACCTGTGTGTCATTATTTTTAACAAAATAGGAATGAAGCCATAAATCATTATAAAAGCCTTTCTATTTCCTAATAGGTGTCATCAAGTTGTTAACAGTTTGATAAGAGAACACTACCTGCTTCTCAAAAATGCTGGTAGTGTCCTTATAGGAGGGACAACAGGTCAAGAAACTTTGTGCTTTTTGTCAGACTTTATCTACAGACATGAAAAATTATGTACTTGAGCTTTTATTAAAGTGTTCTTAACATTGTTTTTATCCTAAAACAAATATTGTTTTAGAACTTGTGTCACTGGAATTTGGATTCAGAAATACCTGCTCCTGAAAATAAAAATCTCCCACCTGGAAAGGATAGTGCAACAGGTGGTAAGAAATCCTAGATGTGTGTATTTATACTTATAAACATTAAAAATTTATATTCATACTTGTAATACAAATAGCCACTTATATTAAAGGGGGTTTGTTTTTAATGCAACCAGTTTTATGTAACTATTAATTGTCATTTTTTCCATACACATTCTTTCAGGTTCAATTAACAAGGTAAGGATAAATGTTTGGTTTTAAATAATTCACAAAACATTATTTTAAAATTACATGTATGCTCATTAAAAAATTTCTTTCTTTAAAAATATCAATTTCATTTCCGTAGAGTTCTTCAAACAAGTCAAAGCCTTTTCTGTTCTATAGGGCTGCAAACTGGTCATTAAATTAATATTTTATTATGTATTTTTCAATATAATAATACCATAAATGGAAATTAACATTGCCAAAAGAGAAGTAGTTTCAGCCCTTGAGATTTATTGAAGCAATTGAAATGGTTCATTTCAACTAAGTAGTTGAAGTAGTGAAGAAATTAATCTTTCATTTACTTTTTTTGATCAAGATATAAAACACTTAACTATCAGTAAATCTTAATGATATTCAAGGCTTATTAGTTAACACTGTTTAGCTGGTACTTGCAACAGATTATACCAGTTCCTGCTGAAGTCAGTAAAAACAAATGATTCTTGGTTAGAACAAGAATTATACAGTCTTAGAACAAGAGCAGGGAACAGAGATGTCTTGCGTTTAAAAGTCTTCTGCTGCTTTATAGAACCATTTGGAAATTTCAATAGAGCAACTGATGCTAGAACTTAATTTGTCAGAGCATGCTCACAAAAGAACACAGGTGGGATTTTATTCATCATACTCCTCAAGTATTTTTTTTAATGCATTCAGTTACTAAAATGTTGTCCATGGTTTTTCTGTTATCAGAATAGTGAGCAAGGGATGTTTCAGTTATGGAGTTATCCTCTTAACGAAGGAAGTACCATGGAGAACAGGTGAGAGAATATTTATTTTTATAAACCCATAAATTAGTGAAATATATTTAAATACAATGAGTTAACTATTCACCTTAGATACTAGGAAGAAAAACAACCTGAAGAAAAAGTATTGCATATAAATACGGGGGAATTATAGGAACCCTAAACTAGGAAGTGGCTGGCTTACACTACAGAGATCATCAGTGTATGGGCAATTAAGAATTTCTGTGCCCTTAAATGAGAGTTTATATGGATAGAGTTTGGGCTTCTCACCGAAGGGAAAATAAACTGTAATAGGAAAATAATAGTCCATGGGGCAAGAATGATTTCCATCCCTTATGTATAAGGTACTGGTGTCCGCATTCCTACTTTACAGATGAGAACACTGAGTCAGGGCGACAAGATATGTAACTTGCCCAAAGTCATACAATGAATGGAATGGTAGAAACAGGATGTAAGAAGAGCTTGGTTCATGCTCATTAGCACTACAGTGTATCACTTTTCAGACTTTACTTATTTTTTGGTTCTTAAACTTAAGCATGCATCAGAACCAGCTAGAATGCTTCTTACAAACACAGGGTACTACTATGTGGAGAAGATTACATTTATTGAACCCTGGGTCACTTTTACACACAGTGTGCTGTTTCATGGAGATCCTGAGTTCTGTTCCTCAGTTTTGTGCCCAGTTTTGACAGTGGGTGTGGCTCACTTGATAGCAGTCTCCCAGAGGACTTTACCTCTGTGAGACTCAGGATGAAACTCCCCTAAGCTGAAATTCAAGGTGTGAATCCAAGAAATGCTAAAGGGACCCTAGTGACTAATGCCCTAAGGGAATGTCAGTGCTGAGGGGGATAGAAAGGCTACTTTTACTAGAAGGAACTCAGCTGGGAACAAGGATTTCAAGGTAAGAGGTCAAATGAAATGAATTGAATTGTATCACACTAACACAGAGCAAACATAAACTGAGTCAGTAGAGGGCAGTGGGTAAGATTACAAACATCCGGTCCCACCACTCTGGCTCTACCACTTACCACATGTATGACCTTAACCACTCTGCCTTGGCTTCCTTACCCATGAAAGGTAAACAATAAAAGTGCTTGTCTCCTGGGGACTAAGCAGAACAATGTGTTTGATAGGTATTTGCTATTTATACTGGGAAAGCCCAAGATGTTGCAGAGTTAGAAGCCCAGGATCAATGAAATAGTTTATTACTGAGATTTTTCTCTTCAATATGCCATCAAGAAGAGAATAAAAGTAATATTTTTTATTTAGGGTTTAACATTTTGCAAAGTATGTTCATGTAATTGGCTTCTCAGACCACCTCAAGGTCGGTATTGTCCTTACCATTCTGATCACTGGTGGCAAAGGGATTCAAACCTAGGTCCCCACTCCCAGATTCCATGCTCTTTTCACTAAACAACGTGGATTGTGTCTGTCATCAATTGTAGATTTCAGGAGACTTTCCTGTGGTTTTATAAAGGCAAGTTGGTATAACTAATATTTAGCTAAAGAAATAAATTTTTACTCTTTTCTGTAGAAATAGAAGTATTTTTCAAAATCCTTCAAGAATACTTTGCTGTCTTTAATATAAACTGGCATTAAAAGAAGCAAGAAGATAATGAGACTTTACATGTCGATTAATGCTTCAACCCTTTCAATGTCAGTACTTCTTTTTTTTTTTTTTCAACGTTTTTATTTATTTTTGGGACAGAGAGAGACAGAGCATGAACGGGGGAGGGGCAGAGAGAGAGGGAGACACAGAATCGGAAACAGGCTCCAGGCTCCGAGCCACCAGCCCAGAGCCCGACGCGGGGCTCGAACTCACGGACCGCGAGATCGTGACCTGGCTGAAGTCGGACGCCTAACCGACTGCGCCACCCAGGCGCCCCTCAATGTCAGTACTTCTAGTAAGCTTTAAAAAAATGAACTATTTTAAACTCAGTGTTCCATGGCCTGGCTCTTATGCAGTTTTCATTCTAATATAATACCTAGAATCATTAGTCATAAAATAAAAGAGCACTTCCAGGTGAAAATTACAATGGGATAATTTTTTTTTTTTACCTGTATGGTTCCTTTCTTTCTTTCTTTTTTTTTTTTTTTTTTAAACTATGGGATAGTTTTTGATGAACATTGTTTTGTTTCCTTTTATATGGGCATAATTTTTTTTAGACCACAATGGCTAATGTAGAAGGCTTTATTGAGTAACCTAATTACATTCTTTGAGCTTCCTTTTATCTAATCCTGGGTCATAAACATGTCAATGCAATTTCAGTTTGAGTTGGATAGCCCCCTTCTCAGACATCATCAGTGCAGATACAATCTATTCATAGGTAAATAGATGTAATTAGCCACTTTCAACCCAGTGGCCATTCATAGACACAGCCATTTGTGGGTATAACGATCTAGTTTCCTGTGAATGCACACAGGGATATCCAGTTAATATTCTAATTTATACGTTTAAAAATGTATATAGTTTTATGTACTTGAGCATATTTGGAAGTTAACATCTGTCAGTTACAGATAGATACACATAGGCCATTGGAAACTAAACATTAACCAGTCTTTGATAATTTTACTTTTTGATTATTTTAATAGCATTTTAATTCCAGTCAACAAACCATTCATTAACTAAATCATTTTTTAAAGGGATTTCAGAAAATCTTCCGTGGAAACTGGCTTTAATGTAACCAATAATCCCATAAGGCTCTTTACTCTGAACCACTCACTTGTAACAAGTGCTTCAGTTGAGAAGCAAGTTGGTTTTTACTCTGGACTGCAGATACCATCGGTTCTCTGCTGGCCCTATGCTGATGGAGACTTTTTGAAGGACAGAAATGAGCCTTATATTAATTTATGTTCGACTATAGAAAACAATAGTGGTGAAACTTTACCTGCTTTAAATTGGAACTTGAAATATGGAAACAGCAGTGTGGAAGAAAACTTAACAGATGAAAGTGATTTATCAGAAAATGAAAAAGCAAATGATAGTTTGCTCAGCTACTTTAAAAAGATGGACCTGAACTTAAAGCCAGAAACAATAGTAAACGTTGAGGAATCTTTCACAGAGGAACCAAGTGAAGTATTTCCATATCCTGATTTTCTCCCTTCTCCTTTCAATACCCTGGACTTGCACAAATTAGCCCTTTCAAAATCTGAAAATTGGAAAGTGACAGTAGAACCTCCAGAAAGCTCTGTTGAACGTCTGATAACTCGTTTACTAGAAATGGAAAGATTGCAACACATGACTATCCAAAAAGAGAGGCCCAGACTACAAACTACTTTCTGTACTCTGGCAGCTACTGAACGACCCTCTTCCTCCAAAGCTATACCCAAAGTGAGACAGCCCAAACTTTCAGACCCTTTGAGTCTTCAGACGACTTGTGTAGATAAAAGTCGTGAAAAAAGAAAAAGCAATTCTGGATCTTGCAAGCTTGAACAAAATGCTTCAAAATGGAATTGGAGCAATGCTGGCAAATATAAATGGAATTCTAGACCAACATCTCTAAAAAGTTCATCCACCACCAAACAATTGGTTGCAACTTGTGATGACTTTAGGAATCTCAAAAGCTCCATTTTAAATCCATGCCAAGAACTCGCAACCAAGCCTACTTCTTCCCAAACAACTCAATCATTGGTTAAAATGGCCTCAACAAGATGTCTGCCACCAAAGTCTCCAATACCAGTCTCATCTATACCTCTGTCTTTCCCCGAAAATCAGAGAGAAGAAATTAAGGTACCAAGGACCAAAAAGAAACTTTATCAAAAAAACATAGCACTGAACAGACCATTCTATATTCAGAAGCTAAACTGTTTATCACCTTCCTTTACAGCTAAGGGTAAGTGTTCACCTATTGACCAAAAATAACTTTTCTTTCATACATCTCAATGTGAGCAAATCTGTTTCCAAGAAGCTTGGCTAAAACGTGGTTCATCATTCCGAGATACAAGTATTACACACATGCATGAGTAACTTGATGTGATGTGGAGTGGAATTTGTAAAAATCATTGCTGAGATGTGTAAATATAAATTCAAGGGCTTCCATACTGACATATTTGGCAATCTTTTGCATGTTATGTTTCAAAGGAATGTTTCACTTAGTAAACTGTTCTTTTCAAAAGAATATTCTCTTTTGTTGTGATGGTTTCCTAGTGTAATTCCATCATCAATGAATGCTATAATCAACTTATTGCTGGTATATTTTGTGTTCTATTATAGTTTGAAGAGTGTAGTTACCTCTTTTTAGTTCTTCCCACTCTGGTTCCTTTTTCCTTTCCTTTACTGCCTCTACAAATCTCCTTTGTCTATCATTTTGACCAATCTTTTGAGTATTTGCTTGGCCATTAAAAGCTAAAATACTTGCTATTTTGTTAAGTTAATATGCGAGAGCCCCTGGGTCCTCCTGTGAATCTTAAAAAATGTTCCTTTCCCAGGTCCTTGGTCATATACATGAAAGCAAGATCAGTTCCCTTGGAGACTAACTATAGTTGTAGATATGAAACAACCCTCTTCCACTCAGACTAAGTAGTTTTAAAACGTCAAAGGTAAAATGAGAAAAGGTTGCTGTCCACAAGAGCAGCCAACATCTGTTAGTGGAACTTTTCCCCAAAGTTCTTTGTTGCTGGAAGTCTTAACCCTGGTTAGTTGAAACTCAAACAGCTGAAGTTTCTTATTTAAAAAAGTGTGTGGGGATTGGAGGCAGGGGGAACTATGTAATGGACACAGCTTACTGCACCTAAGAATCAGGGAAACAAAAAAGCTGAGTCCTGGGTTCTACCGCAGGTGCACAGACACAGAATCTTTTGAGAGTGGGGCCAGGGAACCTGCCTGGTAAACTTCCCAGGTGATTTTAATGCAGGTGGTTCTTGGATCCCAGTTTGAAAAACCTGAAGGAAAAACTTGATGCAAAATGCTCAGGGTTGGTTGGTGGGGATCATGTGCTTTGGTTTTCAGTTGATGGTGAATTCAAATGAGTTTTTCTTAAACATTAAAAAAGTAACACAGGATTAAAACTTTTAGGTTACCCAAAGGAAAATGAGAAATAAAAGGCCTGTTCCCACTCCCAGCCCCCCACCAAGGCAATTGATATTACATTTTTGTGTAGCATCCTC